AAGGGAGGGCTAGGAATGGGGAAAAAATAAGAACCAAGATGCATTATGTAAAGGTACAATTCCCAATGAGAAATGTAAGTGTATTGTATACCTAAAATGTACCAATAAAAGAATTTAACAACAACAACAAAAAGAAATGTTCAACATCTCTGGCCATTATAGAAATGCAAATTAAAATAGTACTAAGATTCCATCTTCCTTCAGAAAGAATGGGAATCATTAAGAAATAAAACAATAAGAAATACCAATGTGGCTGTAGTGAAAAAGAAATCTTCCTTCATTGTTGGTGGGAATGTAAACTATTACAGCCACTATAGAGATCTCTCAAAGAACTGAAATTAGAAATTCCATATGGCCAAGAGTTTAAGACATCACACTACAGTGATACATGTATACCAATGTTTATAGCAGCACATTTGTAATAGCTGAATCCTGGAAGCAGCCTCTATACCTATCAATAGACAATTGGATAAAGAACATGTAGTATCAATATACAATGGAATTCTACTCAGCAATAATGAATGACAGATTTGAGCCATTTGTAGGAAAATGAATGCACCTAGAAAATATAATGTTAAGTGAAATAAACTAGACACACAAGCTTAAATACCATATAGTATCTCTCATTTGAGTGAAACAAAGTAAAAACGAATATTAAAGGATGAATAGAAGTGGGTAAAAGGATGGATTTCTTCCAATAGGGAAGTGGTCCAAGGGAACAACAGCTAGGGGTAAGGAAGAGGGGAAGGGGAAATAATATAGAATAAAGATATGGCATTATAAGAACCTAATAACCTCAATTAATGTAAACATTATATGCTATAAGATGAGCTATGGTTAATCATATCAACAAGAATGAAAAATAGGAGAAGGGAATTGGAAGAGAAGGGAAGGAGTGGGTTGGAAGGGGGAGCAGATTAAAGAAAAGGAAACCGGCTATAGTATGTATATGTAACCACTCTCCAAGATAATTATAAACTATGTGAACTGCAAATGTACTAATAAAATTTTTTTTAAAAAAAGGAATTCTGCATTCCACAGCTTTTGCAAGACCTATGAGTGGTGTCTTTCAGTGTGTAAGGCACTCATCTGTCTGTTTTGGCCTTTAAAAACTTTTGATTTATTTTTATAAAGATTCTTATTCTTCTCTTTCTAAGAATTTAGACTTGGTTGGTTTGTTTTCCTTCCACTTCCATGATTTCTCTTTCCCTTTGGAACCATTTCCCATCATAAATGTTGTTGCTGCCATAGGTCATTTTTATCATAATTCTGTTGTTCTTATTGTCTTATGTGAAAGATGCTTTATACATTCTCTCTCATATAGCAGAGGTCTTATTTTTACTTTTTAAAAGATGAAACAAATTCAGAGAAGTTTAGAAAATTGTCATGTGTCAGAGCTGGGATTTAAAGGGACCAATCTTTTCCTGTCTCTCTTTTTATTTTCCCTTCCTCCTATTGTTTTTGTTTTTTTTTTTAAGTTTTAAAGTTCTCCTCTTCTGGAAGTAAAATTTTTTAGTTGGCCAATACATGTGTGCTGCTTTGGGCAGCTTCTACCCACTTTAACATGCTCCCTTCAAACTCCACCTCTGCCAAGTTGTGGGACTATCCTCAAGCTTGCAGAGAGATGCCCATGTTTTCTTGGGAGACCTGGAGAACTCTCTTGGCCTGAAATCTACACTTAAGCCCTAATTAATGGCCACTGGGTGGGCAGCTCTTCCAGAAATTTTCTTCTTCTCACTGGTTGGTTCTTCTATAATCCATAATTTTATATCCAAATTTATTCTTCTGGAAAATATTATATTTTTCTACGGTCTGTTTTTATTAAAGCAGTAGTGATGAGGTTTTAAGGGCAGTCAGACTTAAAACTGCTTTATATCCCTACAAAAGCTAATTTTTTCCTTATATTCTTTTATTAGTACATTTTAGTTATACAACACAATTACATTTCTCATTGGGAACTTGTAC